TTCTTTCTTTGTCAAAAAAAAAAAAAAAAAAAAAAAGAAAAAGAAAAGGAAAGAAAAGGTAGATATTTGGTGTAATTTGAAAAATATGTATACATATGAAAGAAACAGATAAAAAGAGAGAGAAAGAGAGAGAGAAAAAGAAAAAAAATATTTAAGTACGTAGTTAAGAGACTTTTAATCTCTATAAGTAATTTCTAGTGTGACTATGATAAGACAATGTACTTGTGAATCGATTATATTCTTATCTAAAACCATAAATCGTTTTCTTCGATACTTTTGTAATATTTTTTTCTTTTTCTGTTTATTTTCCTTTTTATTTGTTTTTCTCTTTGTATCGTTTCTCTTTCTCTTTCTTTTTAATTTTCTTAATATATAATTAACAGAAAAAAAAAAAAGGAATATTTATTCGAATTGATATTTGAATGGTCGTGTGTTTTAATATTTGTAATAAATATAATAAATTATTAATTATTTTGTCTATTTTTAAATAATTGTTTTATAACGTATATAAACAATAAAAATGTACAAATGTAATATAACGAAGCTTCATAAAAAAAAAAAAGGAAATACGAATTAACGATAGTTGATGAAAAACCAGTTTTATTGGCTTCGAGAGAAAAAGAAAAAGAAAAAGAAAAAAAAGAAATAAAGAAAAAAAAAACATACCGTCACCTAATTATCATTTTTCATTATTTCGTATATAATGAAAAATTGAATGTAACGAGAGAGTAGAGAGAAAGAGAGAGAGAAAGAGAGAGAGAGAGAGAGAGAGAGAGAGAGAGAGAGAGAGAAAGAGAGAGAAAAAGAAAAAAGGAAGATTTTAACGAGACTGTGGATGAAAGGAATACAAATTATGATAAAGATTCATGAATCGTAATTTATAATGACGATAGAAAATTTCTCGGTATAAAAGGAAAATACTTCACGAATAAATTATCATTTGAATAAATATTAAAAAGTCATTAAAGAAAAACACGCAATGACTTCCTAAAAACAAACAAGCGAACATGCAATCTAAAGTTTCTTTTTCTATATTTGCCACAAAGTACGATTATGCTGATTTATAATATGAAAGAATAAATAAATAAATAAATAAATAATAGAATGTAATTTCCATTGACGTTGCGATAATCTCCAGCTCTATTAATAATATTGATAATAATAATCAAGAAAAAGAAGAAAAGAATAAAAGAAAGAAAAAAAAAAAATAAATAAATTCTTGTATAAAGGGTTGCATATGGCAAAGCGTATAGTACGTCTGTATAAAGGGTTGCATATTGCATGGGTTCATATAAATCTCGTGTATGAATGATTGCATAATATCAGGCTTAAAGAACCTCTTTGTAAAAGTAATTGCATACTTTAAGGCGTAAGAAAAAAATTTCTCACCGTCATTCTCACTGTAAAAAAAGACTTATTCGACAAATTTTTAAAAATTATCAATTCTTTCTCATCAAGTAAAATATTACTTGACGTAATGATTTAACAATAGCGTTAGCGGGTTAGACCAAAACTGTCGATATTCACGAATCTACGAGTTATGACCTTGAACGAGATGCAGTTGCAATGAGGTGCCACTAGCAACAGCAAACTGTTGACATAATTTTCCGTTTAATGTAGTAGTAGGTAATTGGTTATAATACCTGAACGTAGTGTGCATAGAGTATTTGAATCAAGGTCATCGCGATTACTTCGTTGCATCGAGCCTTCGGTCAAGTGTACTCGGTGCTTTATGAGAGAGAGAGAATCACGTGATAAATCTTACTACGTCGATTCGAATCAATCTTCAACACGTGTGTTGATTATTATTGTTATTATTATTATTATTATTATTATTATTATTATTATTATTATTATTATTATTATTATTATTATTATTATTATTATTATTATTATTATTATTATTATTATTATTATTATTATTATTATTATTATTATTATTATTATTATTATTATTATTATTATTCTGTTCTTTATTCAGTCGAACGCGTCATTTTAATCGAGCGATTAGTATTTTTTGAATTATTTTCTTCGACGTTGATAATAATCATCTAATAAACTTGAGAAATAAAATACGAATGTTACGTATTAACGTTAGATAAGAATGCATACGTAGTTTTTCCTTTTTCCTTTTTGTTTTCTTTTTTTTTTTTCTTTCTAAATACGAAAAAATTATATGTGCGTTCGTTTATCAAAAGGTAAAAGAATAAGTATTATTATTTAAACGATATCAGCGATGCATTTGATTGGATTAAATTGTGAGATACTGTGAAGCCATCTATGCCATTTGCCGAGTATATAAAAGGAACTTGTTGAGCAATACGGACGTTATTTATAGACAGTACCGCCATGAACTTCATTCTGATACCATTTTTCCTAGGTCGGTAAGGTCCAAAATCCAATTAATTATTTCTAACAATTGCATATCTTTTATCGTTTGTTTGATGCAAATGAAAAAAAAAAAGAGTAAAGACGAAGAAAAAAAATAAGTCCACGATAT